AGGTACATGGGAGACCAAGACTTGATGCGAAGGCCGTCATCAAGTACGCTGGTATGCACGAGGCATGTGAGCTGTTAAGGAAGGAGCTTCCCATGCTGCAGTCTCAGTCTCTCTCCCCCTCCATCTATGCCAAGAACGTCTTCCTTGGGGGAGAAGCGCTGGGGGGGTTCTCTTGCTCGGGTCGCCAGCAGTACCTGCAGGTGCTGGAGAGCTTCCGCGCTTTGCCTGCTCCTCCAGGAGCAGAGAAGAGGATTGACGTCAGGGTTTGGTCCTCCACTTCATACTCGAGGACAGACAAGAAGGGAGGAGGAGGAGCAGCAGCAGCAGCAGCAGCTTCAGGACAAAGAGCAGGAGGAGGAAGAGGAGGAGGAGGAGGAGACGAGATCTTTGCCAGTGCAGTCATATCGCTTCCTCTCCTCCTCCCTCCCAACAGCCTCGCCGGAGCAGGGCTGATAGAGCCGAGTCTCCTCCCGGTGGAGATCCGATCTAAGTACCTAGTCAACGACGAGGGGAGGATAAGGGAGCATCGGGTAGAGGAGGTGCTGATAGCAGGACAGACTGCTCTTGTCCCCCGCCTCCTCCGCTGGATCAGACTCTCCCTCAATGGAGACCTCGTCGGGGCTGCTGCAGTTGCTGTAGAGCTTGTACAGGCCTCTCTCCCCCTCTCCTCCTCTTCAACTCGCCTGAGGCTATCCCCTCGCCTTCCTCCGAAACAGCCCCGAGACGCCCTCCCTGTTCCCGGTTCCTCCTCCTTTCCTCTCTTCCTCGACCTGCACAGGTTCGCCAACGAGCTCGAGCAAGACCTTCCGGAGCTGCTTGCGAGCGGGTGGGAGAGGATGGCTGAGGGAGGGTGGCTGTCGGACAGCGTCAGGCTAGAGGATGAGGAGGGGAGGAGTATCAGTAGCGGACGTTCGCGCTACCTCAACTGGTGGAAGGGGCTGGCACAGATGCAAGCTCTGCTGCTGGACGCGGGAGTAGTCTCCTCCCCGCGCTCGTCCTTCGACCTCTCGCTCAATGGCAGGTGGTTCAACACAGGGCGGGAGCGGGAGGAGGAAGAGGAGCAGGATCAGGAGGAGGTATCCGTGGATGTTGTCTTCAACTACAGCGCCACAGCAGCATGGGCAACTCGTCCTGCAAGAGACTCTTCCTCGGGGGGCAGCTGGATGGAGTTCAGGAAGAGTCGAGGGCCGGGAGCGACCGTCTCACAGTGGCGCGCGTACAAGGCAAGGACGGGGCAGAGATCCTCTGTGAGCAGAGAGAAATCACTCGTGACTGACTTGCTCTCGGGGCTCGAGAGCTTCTGGAGGGCTCAGAATGTCTCCTCCTCCTCCTCCTCATCCTCATCCTCATCCTCATCCTCATCCTCATCCTCCCAAGGAGAGCTTACAGTCAGCGTGAAGTCGGCCTTCCTCCTACGGCCCTCCTCCAAGGACAGGCTCCAAGTCGTCCTCCACCGAATCAGCTCGCTGAGGGTCAGGGACGAGGACGTGCGGTCTTCGGACCTCGCTCTCTTCCTCACCCCGATCTTTCAGGGCCCCTTCGCTAGCCTTGCCTCCCCTGCCGACCTGCTCGCCCGAGCCTGGAACCCGGTGGGCTGGGGGTCGGGATCGGACCTGTCGGCGGCAGAGAGGGAGGCGCTACGTGAGGACGAGCTGGGCAAGGAGGAGGAGCAGAGCAGCGATCAGGCGTATGTGCGAAACTTCTGGATCTCGTTGCACGCACTGCATGCTGACGTCAGGCAGCTGCTGGCCGCCCCCCCCTCGAACCCCAGAGCCTACAGCTCCTCCCTCCTCATCGTCGGGCAACTCGGGGAGACTCTGGTGTCGGGGAGGGAAGACTTTCTTGTGCTAACGCGGAGGATGCGGCGGCTGCTGGCGCGAGCTGGGCTGCAAGAGTCGAGGGAGGCGAAGGTGACGCTGCAGCATCTGCCGTCGGACGAGCTCTTGCTGGCGAGCGAGTACCAGCTGAATCTACGAACGCCGCTCGGAAACGGGGAGCTGGGGGAGGAGCAGGGGCTGAACAGGCTGCTGAGAGTGAAGGTGGAGGTTCAGTCGAGGGTGCTGCTAGGGGAGGACGGGAAGATCGAGAGGGTCCAGCTGGAGTCGGTCAGGTTGAACGGCCAGCCGTCGGTCCCCCAGCAGATTCGTCAGCTGCTGCAGCTGGAGGGAGATGAACAAGATGGGGATGGAGGGAGCAGACTGGCGCTGCGGCTGCTGAAGAGTTTGAGCGACATGCTGCAGTAGGAGGAGGAGGAGCGAAGAAGGGAGGGGATGGAGGAGGAGAAATTTCCAAGATCTATCTATCCCTTATGGTACATGATGACAACGATGTAGAATAGAAACACAAAGATGTCCTTTTTGTGTTGTCACTAGTACCGCACAAAACCTGCTGTTATCAGTCAAGACATAAATTCCATCCTAAAGCTTCATTTTTCATGTCCTGATTGCACAAAATATCACGATTCCAAGGGGAAAGCATCATGAGAGTCTTCGTGGTTCTTCTCGTCTCTTCCTCTGTTTGACAAGGCGCAAGAAAACAATATCAACAGCCTCAGAGCAGACGACAAGCATCGAGGACATCACGACTGAGTTCTCCGTTTGTTCACCATCCTTGCCGTCCTTGGTAACTATATCTCCCCCTCCTCCTGCGGTTCCGGTACTAGACGAAGCAGTCGGAGATCGAGGAGAGGCCGTATTGTATGCAGGGAAATGCAGAGTCGCAAATTCGCGACTAGTCGAGCGGCTGCAATCAGAAGAACTATTTCCTCCGCAAATCCGTCTAAAACTTCGAGGGGCGTTGATATGCGTTCGA